CCGTTTCGCTGCATGAAGCAACCCTTGAAGGATATTAATCTCACATCAATCTCGCCCTCCTCCAGCTGAAACGGGTTCATTGTTCATTAAAATGCAGTCCACACGAGTGAAACTGTATACCGGATATGTACTAAATGTATATAGCATGTAAAGCGACCAATAGTAACCAAACGCAATTAACGGAATTGGTATTCCGCGCATATACCTGTACCTGATCGAATAAGTAGATCTCCTTGTAACAGGACGGCGACACGCATTCCCGGATGCATCGTGTTTTGGCGACGCCGTCGCTCCTATGCGATAGCATCTTGCAAGCACCGCTCTCCTCGCAATCCTGCTCGAATTGTCTGAAGAGGGCCTCCTACGACAGAATTTACCGATTATTCTAAATTACAATATTGGCTTAATTTATCTTCTAATTGTTATAAATGTTTAAATGCAAAAAGGTTTTAATATATAGCAATATCGAATATGAATCGCTTTCGAATTTTCCATCTTTCATATTTCGCTGAAATAATAAATCGCGTGCGTTAATTTAGCATAAAACGTTGGAAATGGATTTTACGATTATAAATTCGGAAATGCGAACATTTATTAATATTTTTTTTTGTACACGAGAAAATTATTCCGTCAATTTATGCGGTATTGATAAAATGACGCTTTGCATTCCGCGCCGCGGCGGGATAAAGCGGAATGCAACAATTGATTTGTGCATGTCGAAAGATTAACCCCAATTAGAGCCAATGCGACTTCCAGCGCGTCCATGTATGCGCTTTTACTATCCTTCGCGAACAACTCCGCGCACATAAAAGCATTACTGCGAGAGATCTTTGAAGGAGAATATTTTTGCCGAGCGTAATACAGTAAGACACACGTAACGTTCTTTTATTTTACTTTTTGGAAAATACAACCGTAAGATGTTTTTGGTAGTAAACTGCGTATTTCAGATGCTAATAATAGATTGCCCGTAAAATTAAATTCGTCAAAAAGTTTCTCAGATAAAATTTTCCATCGTTTTTTCCCCTAAAAGTATATCGCGAGCGAATTATTTTCAACTATACAGAACTATATACATTTCCGACAGATCTTTTTACGATACGCAGCACGCGTATTTTTTTTAGTCTTTTTGCAAAGCGATTTTAAATGTAATTTTTGTAATCTACCCTCCGCTTGTCAAGCTTGGCAAAAGAGAATTCTTTGGTAGCTATATCGAATCGCGACGATGAGCTTGCGTCGTTGTTCCAAATGCAATTTCGCACGTATAGTTACATTCAAGTGCATTCGTATATATACTTTGACCTTTAGCCAAATTTCTCTTTAATTAATGTCAAATCGATCGTTCACTAAATTGCTACCTTGTTCCGATTTTACTTCCTTGGTCGTAAACACTCGTAAATGATAGTTATCGGAGTGTTTGTCACACTTTTGAATTTATACATCTCTTTTTCAGACACGGTGATACAATAGCTTTTTATAATAATTTGAATTCTTCCAATATAATTATTAATTTTTTTATTTGCGCAGATTAAATTGAAGGTGTTTTATGACTAATTAGTGATCCACGTGCAGAGACGGGTGCAGAGAAGATAGCTCTTACTGTTTGGCTCAAAAATTGGTGCACCAATCCGGCTTAGCGTTATGCTACCGTTCCTAGCATCGTAAAACTGCCACCCTTAAATGTGGGTTGTGGGTTGCTCCCCATAACCTGTATCAGCGTTCAGCACGTACCACTCGTGAAAGAGGACTTTGATGAACCGTATGGACGACTTACGTTCTTGGTGGTCTCCTTGTACGGGTATTCCGGGAATGTGAAGGTCTTGGCGAGGGATCCTGGCCCATCCTGGAGGTGGCCGACGACGAGGATCAGGCTGAGCGCGAATACCACCCCCGCCGCCATGTTGAGCGGAGTCAGTGACCGATCAATAGACGGGGATGGCGCTTCGGTTTCTCTATCGAGTTTCCCGGTGGAAAATAGGAAAGTTTTAGGTCTAATCGCGTAAGGGGTTGACTATTGATTTGTGCCGAATACTTCATTAAGCACTTCTCAAAATGCGACGTGTCGGATAATCGGACGCAAGTTAGTTTAGGACCAAGTCTCATCCCTTTTCTCCGCGCGCATTGTTACATTTAACTTTTTATTTTCTTTTTTAATTAATTTTCTGAAACTCGTTATCGGATCTTATTATCCTGTCCGCTACGTCGATCCATGAAATTCCGTGCTGTCTTCTTCTACTGCAATCAAATATTTTAACACGTTGCCACCCGATTAATCGAATTTCACGGTTTTATCCTGCATTTTATCTTCTCACATAAATTCTTGTTATATCCGTATTTTATCTTTGTCTTTGCTGTTTTATGTCTCTTGCAATATTATTCACATCTTACCTTTTGCGCGTATATATTTATTTTTATTATTATCTTCTTTTCTTTTGTAATAACTGAGCACAACCGTCTTGTTAAGACCAAAGTTATACATGCAATAAAGTTATTGCACGTGTGCAATAAAGATATTTATTATTACGTATAATATATTTATCCTACATCATGAAACTTTTCTGTTAAATAATAAGATTAAATGTAAAATTAGTATTCTTGTTAAATTATAAAATGTAATTTAAGTTTGATTAATATGTATCATTTTTTTTTACAAATATCTAGCAATAGCTTCTTCAGCAACAACTAATATTTATATTTTAACAAGCACCAAAACGTTAAATTTTTATTTTTGTAAGATGCGTATCCAATAAAATTTAATGGCGACTCTCGCGTGAACTTATTCCGACGACGCCGATTTGCGATTCGCGCAGTGACACGCGTGAATTTACCGATAACTCTATATAGCAGCGCAGCTGCGATATTTGCATAAAACGTATCGAGGCGTATGCACCAGAGCGCAGTAGCATTTATCGTTTCGATGTGTATGCGAACGTTGGACGAGACGGCGAACGTTTTTGCCGAGTTAGGCGTTGTGCACCACCAATCCCAAATTCCGCGCGCAGCTTTCGTGCCATTAATTCGAGATTTCGGCGGCGATTAGCAACAGTTTCGGCTCGCCCGATATGTTCCTCTTGTCCCTCGCGTGATTACAACATTCTGCCAGTTCCACTGATAGCCCGACGCGAAGAAGTGTCGCGGTCAGGAACGAATAATTTTCCTTAATTTGTCCTTTGGTTTAGATTCAATCAAGTTTATTAATAATTATCCAGTTTTTTTATAATTCTGTTTATGCTATTGTAATTGATTCATCCAAATTGCTTTCTCGACAATCCCATTGAATTTTACAGCATGACGCAACTAAATCGCTTAAAAGAGAATAATTTCGTAAAAGCATTCTGTTTGAAAAGCTTCTGAAAAATATTTTACTCGTTAAAATCTCTAATAGATTTTCCAAAAGATTACTGTGTTGAAGAATAAGCGATTGTAATATATATAATTGTGGCTAAAATCGAGATTTTTGAAGAAGACAGATGGTTTATTCCTGGGCAATCTTCTAAAATTGCATTACCAGCAACATAGAATTAGTGAAATGGATTTCATTATACGCGAAATATTTCGGTGAGATAAT